GGCAATTGATTGGCAGATGGACAATTTTTTGTTCCCGAATTCAGCAGCGGTCTTACGCGTAGTTTTTTGGACCCTCTGGTTCTGTGTTCTCTCCATGACTGGAGAACTGTGCTTACCATTTCTGGTGTCCCAAGAGTTACTTTCAGTATTTGCGGGCCATCTCCGGGATAGTAGGGAGGATGCGGGAGGCGTTTAATGGCCATGGTAGAGTCGTTGCGGAATTCTAACAATGCTTGAATAAAGCGCCATTCGTTCACACCATTTTTTCGACAGTTGGGATCATCGAATTCGGCGAGCTGTGGCACTCCGTGTATGAGAATCGCCCGCGAGTTGTCTGCATCGCGTGCACTGTTAAGATCATTCCGTTGGTGTACACGCTCGGTCCACGGTCTATCCGGTAAAATTCTGGTATTGCTGGATCCATCTGCAATGATAAAACTAGAAAGAAGAACATTCTCAACATCTTCTTCACTGGCCAGCGTAACACGAAGTAACCTTGGCTCTCCAATGTGTCGGTTGGCGCCAGAGACGTGTGAGACTCACCAGTTTGGCTTCTACACGCATTCGGGTACATACCTCTGTCCAGCGACTCACCTCGTCCTGTTGCCCATCTCTCAATGATTGACTTGTGTGTTCTGGGAGTTTGTACCAATTACCGTGAGTGCAGTGTTGCCACCTACTCTCTTGTTTATTAGTGACGGTGCATCACCTTGCGACTGACGATAAGGTGGCGGTACCTTGATTACACGTACCGAAGCTTCGACCGTTAGTCTCCTCGTGGCTATTGGAGAGGAAGCGATGCGCGCTACCTCTTGATTTATTTTATAAAAAGCATATCTCGAGCGTTTTGATGGCCTTCGGTTGCTGCTTTCGGCAGTGATCTGGTAACCGAGGATTTTTATTTTTTTTTCGAGAGAAGTAATTTGTACGTTTGCCCTGTCCTCGACGGCTGTTAATAGGTTTTTAAATCTATGTGTGATATCTGTTATGCATCTGATAATGGGCAGCTTGGAACATTCCATACAGAACGAGAACTAATCTGTCTTTCAGAATAATAGTTTTACCAGTTTTTCCGAGGGATGACAGGATTGTATATAGTTTGTGCATGAGATTCCGGTCTTCATTTCTTTTTCACACTTCAATTCACTGCATACTCCTGTTCCTGTTCAGAACCCTGGAGCGGCACTAGTTGGCCATCAAGAGTGCCTGGTGCTTCTGAACAATCGAATGGGCTAATCCAAGCTTCGTACTCTAAAGTAGTTGACATACTTCGACGACCCACGTCAGATTGACTGCGAACTGCGAGGCTGGCTGCAGCTGACAAAGGTCAAGTGCACGTCCGGACCGATCACACGTATGTGGTGATAATTCTCAATGACGCGTAGAACAAAGACACAGGTTAGCATGCGGATATCGATCGACTGAACTGGTTGTGGTGGGATGGACGCACGTGTGAGTGATGGTGCAAATGACACAAAACCTGAATTGCACAAATATATATCCAGCATACTTAAAATTGGGCGTGGAAAGCTCAATTAGGATTTGTTGGATGGAGCTTAAGATTTCCTTTACAATGATATCACAATATTGACAGCTCAAAGGAAAATGAACGACTTTGCACGCCTGAGTATTAGCAAAATATTGCTACAAATCACGGAAAAGCACAGCGGTGTGTATGGTACGATTTATATCCGAGAGAGATATCGCAAGATAGCTCTCACAGAGCTGAGTCGAACGCTCGTAAACTCGTCGATGTATGACAAGTTATGGCGGAGTAAATGCACTTAAACCGGGAGCGCATAAATTATGCGACCGCACACAGTATTCACCAGTGACCGAAACGTCGGTGAATGTAATTCTCTACCAATATAACTGTGTTATCAACATTGTAACATTAACGATACATCATTTTCGTCAGAAATAGAAAAAATAAATATCAACTACCTAAAACTGTCAATGCATCGGTATATCTGAAGTGAATTCCATTGCGCACCCTGTGTAACCCTTGGCAAACACTTAAAAAATCCTTGACTATCGCCAGCTAGTGATACTAAGCTGTCACAAAAATCTTATAGAACTATGAAACAGATTCTCCCTAGCAAACTTGCGGTATTCTACGAAACTAATTCACTGAACCAGCAAAATATTGGCAAGTTTACAATTTAAGTTGACAGGTGGTGCTCTGAGTGTCTCATTGGAGTTGTTAGATCATCAAAAGGCTTACACTCGTTTGGAAAACATTTGAACGAATGGTAACCAAAAATTTTCATCAGCCGTGGTGAGCGGTGGTTCGCGTTCTGAGAACACAAACCTTCTATGCTGAGGGTTCAGAGACACGACCTGCAAAAAAGAAACGCATGAGTCTACTTCTACCCCAGGGCATAGTTTACTGAATGAAGTCCAAAAGACGGTTTAGTAAAGTTAGTGAATCTTGTGCGGCAACGTTATGTTCAAGTGTAATTTATCTTTACTTCTATACGCCAAGACGTCCCCTGATTCAGCACATCTATAGTTTGGGTCGATGTTTAAGTTCAAAAAATCAATACACGCCTCACGCAGTGCCCATCTGGCATTATAAATGTTTGCTAACTAAACAAATGGCTTTACTTATCGTCCCTCTCCTCGTTGAGATTTGCTGTTTCAATCTGACGCACAATAATCACAGCTGTGTGCTTTGTTACATCGAAATGTGTCTATGAGGTGTATTTGGAAAACACACTATTATTATCATTACTATTATCATTGACGAAATTTCTATCTGCTCACCATTCGAGTCAAGACTGAGTCAAAGAGAACGCAACTGAAATTCAGACTAAAACTGATACTTACCGGTCAATAAACCTGGGCAAATCATTGTCCGAAGTTTATCAGGAGTTTCACACAAATCAAGGGCTTTCGCAGTGAATAAATGTCCAAGTTGAGCTTCCTTGCTTCGATAAACCACTTCAAAAATGTTAGCCGGATCAATCTTTTGATCACTGTGAAACAGATGATGACCAAGGATTCCACCAAACAGGTTAACCGGTCTTTTCCAGAGAGAATCGTTTCAAATCATGATCTTGACTAGATTAAGTAAAACACGAATTAGTAGAGCCTACAAAAGCTGCGCACCAGATACTCCTGGAGGAACAAATCAACACGGATGGGTTCAGTCGCGACAAGTTGTTCTCCTATATTCCGCTAATCGGTGTAACTATGATCACACTCCCTAGTTTGGTCACTGAATAGATTTTGAAATAAGGGAGGCACATAAGAAATGGCTTGATCTTTCAGATTGCGCATTTTCTTTAGATGGAGCTTTGAGAAATGTTTTTTGGTTGCACACTAATTGTGTATTTTTTGCCCAATTTGCAAGATTTACTGATTAACGGTAAACTTTGCACATTAATTTGAGCTACATTTCTACGGTTCCGGATGAGTATATGCTAAGAATCATGAAAACGGGGGTGGGAAGGCTGCAATGCAGAAGTTTCCCTGTGAAATGTAGTAAGATGAAAGTGTCGTTTGTGATGGAAATCTTTCTAGTGAATGACACACGAAGGTTAAAATCTGTTTTGTTATTGTTGGGACCCGTCGGCAGTGCGAAGATTTTGTGTTTCAACCAGAACTGTAACCGCGAACGATCGGGCACCTGCATTGGCTTTTAGCTATAAACAATCCCACTAAAAAATATTCACATAATATTCATCACTCTGCCAAAATCCCCCCACAGAACCAATTGCCTTTAAATCCGACAAACATCTTCTGCTACGCATTTCACTGCAGTGATCAGAAATAGAAACGAGGCAATCGAGAAGAAACCACTGGCGTTGGCTTCACGGAATCGCAATCTCAAAGAGAACAATAAGACCGAAATGCATACGGGCTCCTAGCAGCCGTTTCTAGAGTAATGCGTTCGGAGAGATTTCGATCGAAATTTCGGAATTCCCAAGGGTTATAAAGCACCGGTTGGTCTGTTTGATTGGGAAAAAATCATCTCCTTAGAAAAAGCCACACAGAATAAAAAAATAGGTATTTGATTGGTCTGTCCAAGAATACTCTATTGATTTAGTCGTGCCGTCGGTTCTTACAATATTATTCAGATCTTATTCAGTTCAACCCCTTCAAATCACTCCGAGTTCAGTAGTTAGCGAAAATTGATACAGATTGGTAAAGAATACATTAAAATACTTCGAAATATATTCACTATCGACTAAACATGTCTATGTCTTGCCATCGGATTACCCAATGAACAACAACGAGAATTCTTTCATGCGTACGGTCGGTGGGAATCCAATTGCGATATTTGCTGCAATCGGAGTTGGAAGAACTTATTGGGGTTAACATGAAAAAGTCTCGGTCGTGGGTTTGATTCCCAACCAGTAGGCAGATGTTTTAGAGCTGCAAATGAGACCACATGAGGTCGAAACAGCTGATCAGTTATTGCTAAATTCTCAGTTCATGCCCTTAGTTGCTCTGTACACGACGAATTCCATCTTATATTCAAATCAACTCCCCAATAATGCAAGCCGTTGACAGTGGAGATAACTTGAACAAAATTAGCAGTTATAACATTAGTTTTAATACAATCAAAATTTCAGTAATGTCCGGAAAGCGACAAAAACAACCATTCGTACAGTACGCCCGGGTTACAATACAGACACAATGTTATTTACTCAGTACCCAATAAACCACGGGATGCTAACCATTCCATGATTATCTAATCCACTAGATTAGGCTTATAATAAATAATTGGTTTAGTACATTCCAATTTATAAAACGTTTAGTTTAAACAAATCTACCCGAGACATCGTTTTGTTGTGTATTGTGATCACAATTTTTCGGACTAACTCGGTAGAGGCCTACCACAACTACTGTGGAATGTGATCTGATTGGTCAAAACTGGACTGCCCCAACTTGAATGGACCAATCAGATGCTCTCACCAAACTGTGGTAATATGGCTTTGGTCTGAGTGTATTAGGCGCAAATAATGAGTGAAACATAATACTCAAATTTCATTATGATGTCGTATGTTGTACCGTTTGTGATTCTGGTGATTCCCATCATGTTCACCATTGTGTCTGGAATCGTTTGTGATAAAAAACGCATCAAGTATCACAATCATAAGGAAGAATATTGTGATGCACATAAATTTTGTTTCACCATGGGTGAGGCCGATGGCATGATGGGTTTGATGGCTGGAATATGTTTAGGAGTTAAGGATGATACCAGACCGAAGAACCGATGGATCAATCTGAACGCGCTCATGCACAAAACTGATACTCAAAATGAGAATCACTGGATATTCGGTGATGGTGATTGGGTGAGCATAAACAAACAAGAGAAGCACCGTCCCAAGTGGGATGCCTTAATGCTTCCGAGCGCTCAAGACAGGGTAGCTTTTTTAAACACAAAAGGATTTATAGAACGTACTCGAACGAGAGACAAAAGCTTTGAGTTCGCTTGCCACATGTTTCCCTGGGATAGAGAGCAAGCAACCAAGGTGTATCTGGAGAAGTACAGAATAAGTGGCGGTGAAGCGGGCGATACGTGGAGTGCGGTCACTGACGACTCCGCGGGATGCGTTCGGCATTATCCAAATATGACTGCAATCAGCTGTGCATTGTAGTAAGTCGGAACTTTGTGATCGGAACTGCTTGATTCTGCCGGTGACACACGTTGTGTTTATCATATTTTTTCTTGATTGAATTGACGGTAAAAAATAAACTATATAGGAAGATGCACAATTGGACTCAGATCAGTCATTTGGAGACCGTGATCAGGTGACCATTATGATGACTTAACTAACCTTGAACGAATTGTGATTTTCATAAACACTATTCATTGTTTTGGATGACTTCTACCATTGTTATCATGCTTTGATATGAATTCGTTTTAAATTGGTGTTGAGTACGGTTTAGAAAAGAGTGCTCGTTTTATTTATTCATTTATTTCTATTTTTAGACTTTACTTTTATATGACCTTCCCAAATGGGTCTTTTGTCATTTTTTTCTTGGTTACACTCGTACTGTCCAGAAGGCTATAGACACATTCAATAACTTTGCCGTTGAGCAGGTTTACGGCGATTATGAAAGGTGGATCATTTTTTGTTGTAACATATCATTCCTCAATCGGTCCGATCCCGTCTGTTGATGGAGTGCGACCTGGGTGGGATCAAACATGTCGAGTCGATCAATGGTTCCCCTCGTCGATATTTTGTTGCAGTAGGTATATTCCTCTCAAACCATTGGTGTTGACACTAACCTCATTCGAGAAATACTTCAAAGTCTACGCTAGTTACAACTCAGCTTCGTTTGATTTGGACAAATCCACAACACACGTGATTCTTTTTACTGAAAACTGTGAAATCTCATTCTGGTCTATTCGCACTCAGCGAGGAATAACTTTCAAGTCGGATAGGTGACCATGAAGACTATCGCTTGAAGTTCATAATTAAAGCTGATGAGAACATCACTGTCAGTACGAGTGATTGCTGGGAATGCAGTTGTCAGATTAGTTCACAGGAATCTGCAAGCAGTCATATAGCAGAAAAACTTGGCTTATGTCTTTCGCTCAGGCTTTGTTGAACATTGCTCCTCAATATCTGAAAATTGTTTTCAAATGCACACAAAGTGGTCTAGATTTAGTATGAATGCCGGCCAGCTATAAAATTAGATTGCCTAAATGTTATTGCCTAATGTTATTTAGAGACGATAGTGTTTGAAATGAGATACACCTGCTCTATCCAGATCTAAAGCTGACAATCCTACAACCATGTAGCACATTTTAAAGTTATTCTGAAGAACCTGACGATTAATTCAAAGATCTTTGATCATCCTTGAAGTTGAATAAAGCAGTTAAAGGAGAAGCTTTCAAACTCTTAAAGAAAACCTTTTTTGTCGCCCCATNTTATCTTTGGTTAGTGGAAGGCAGCCAATTGTGGCTAGGTTATAATTTGATGATACATCTATTACACGGACTTAGCTTTGTACGCGTATATATATAGATATTTCAAGAGAGAATGGAGGCGTACACTGAGTTGTAAAATATATGTATATCCCACCAATCCTTACAGATATGGGACCAAAATAACCACAAGTGAACGAAAAAATACAGGCACAACATTGGGGAGATGAAACAGTAAACTTCGTGTATCACCATTTTTCTCCATTTTTAAAGAATTTGTGATGAATATAGTGCTCCATGACGACAATGTTTCATGATAGTGATAAAGAATTTGATTCGACTATAAAGTGGATTTCATCATGTAAAGGTTTCATGCAATGAGCATAAGAAGCGAGTTACAACCCTGGAGGCTAGTGCTGAAATGAGCGGATCTCGATGCCCGCAATGAGCTCGCAAAGCTGGTTTGTGCTATATCGTGTATATTCAGAATAAGAAACGATCTGATCAGCTTCCCGTTGGCCGACCGGATAGTGCGCTTGCGTTCTACCTTCGGGTTTGATCCGCTGTAAGTGGATTCGCACAGCTGATGAGACCTACCCAAGTCCGAATAGCTACCCTATGCTTTTCAGCATTTTGGTTCGTTTCACTTGCTCTATACACAATAACACATAATACGTAAAATTTCCGACAAATGACGGGAACGAACGTACCTCCAAATCATTTACGCATTTGAGGAAGCCCGTCCGAATAACAAAATCGGATGAAAGTCGATCGGAAAATGTATTAAAATTGTCCCATAGACTACAGGAGAACAAAATTTGTCAAACAAGCTCGTTTTCGGTGTATCCTATTAGTGCCATTACAATTTAGTGCAACTTTTGTTGTGTATCATTACCCAGACGTTTCCCATATTGATTGTTGGGACCACTTATGATACAAACTGTTCAACATTTATATGACTTTCCGTTTTCCTTACACGTAGCTGTTCTTATGGACAAAGCCCGAATGGTGTGATGAAAATGTACTGTCGAGAAAAGAAACTCGAATCTTATTCTCCTGAAGTGTTATGGCTACCTGTGTCTCCTCATCATTGTCCAGGTGGAAACTCAGTAGCAAATGATGATCGAGTTACTATAAGGGATTTTGCTTGAGGGATCATTTATAAATAAACAGTTTGGCTCAATGTAGTAACATATGCACGGATCCGCTCAGAACAACACTGTACTTCGAACCAGTCCAATTTTACCACAATATCATCACAATAGATCACCTAGTGTGATTCCTTCAACTTATGGTTCAATGTTTTGATTCGGACTCAGATGTTTCGAGCCCGAGTGATCTTTAATGGGACTGTCCATTTTCCGGACCCCTTAGAAAAATAGTGCCTGTACCTTGGATCATGCAATTGCTNCAATTGCTAGAACAATGTCGTTATCGCATAAACGTTTTTCATTGCGAAGTTCCCGGATGGTGCATTGCTCCACAACTGATTCTCTGCCAAAGCTTAAACAGCATGGGATTCATGGCTTGGGAAGGTCAGACTATTTATTACACGATCGATTGGGTTTATTTATCAGTCGATTGGATAGTTCAGCAGCAACGGGCGTCATGCCTTCCCACCTAACCCGAGTGAAAACCCACACCTTGTCCACAGCCGCGATTCTTTGGAATACCCAGTGAACTTCAAATGTGCATAGCGAGAGTGCCATCATCGCACAGCTGGATAACAGATGGCAATAAGAACATGACAAACATTACTAACTGGTGATAAGACAGCACTTGGTCGGGTTAGGGGAATTCAAATTACGAAAATCGCGGTAAATGATCCAATAAGCTCGCGGAATAGGGGAG